GAGGAAGCTTTTTTGGAAACTTTTTGTGCAAGTATTTTTCGACTCTTTAAAAGAGCCGGGCTGCATTTTCTATATGCTGATAATGGAACTGGTGAAAGCATTCGGCTCCCTTGTATATGACTTCGCCTTGCCTAAACGAGCAATTCAGCTACTTCGCACATCAATCAATATTGCTTAGGGGACACACAAGTTCCTGTCAATCAGACATTTTACCCCGTTTTTAGGTTCCATTATGACCAAGAGGTGTCAGATAATCCTAACATCCCAATTTTGAAGTCATGCTCCATCTTGATGTCACAATATTTAACATCATTTGATACATGTGTGCGTACAAACAGACCACCATCCAATGTGGGGTCAATAGTAATATATGGAGTAAGGATATGGTATTGTAAAGCAACATTTCTAGAGCTGAAGGTCTGCTGGTTTTTGGTTCTCGGGATCATTTTGCAGGCCTTGATTGTCACCTAGTGTGCAGTTACACATATATGGGCAATGTATCCAGTATTGAAGATGGCCAATGTATCCAGTATTGAAGATGGCCAATGTATCCTGTATTGAAGATGGCCAATGTATCCTGTATTGAAGATGGCCAATGTATCCTGTATTGAAGATGGCCAATGTATCCTGTATTTAAGAGCTCACATCAAAGTAAAGGGTGAGACCACCCAAAACTGATATTTACACAGTTGACGAAAACTCCTCCCAGTTTTTGTACTTTGCGTAGTAAGATTCCCAAGGCCATTGAAGAGGAGTCTCATCGAAAATGGGTTCCAAGGGAGGAGACCTCGCCCTGCTTGACATTTCAGTTTGAGAATGCCTCAGAAGGAGTGAGTCTCCCCACTGCAGCAGCAAGATACCTGCGAATCCAAGGTGCGGTGGGCATGCCTTAGGTAGGTTGTACAACCTCAGGCCCAGTAGATGCAGCTTATCGGCGAATGCCAAGGGATATAACTTTCGTTTTGGGTTAGGTAGGGTGTTTACATTTTAAAGGACAGATGTGCTAAACTGACTTATTGCCAAGCTAACTACACATCCCACCTTCACCCTACCCTCCCCAGTTCCACATGCACCACCTCAAAGAGTCGTTTACATCAAGACTGGTAAAACCCGTTTGCACACAGTGAGGGAGATTTATCAAAACTGGAGCAGACAAAATCATGAGCAGGTGCCCATTGCAACCAATCAGCTTCTCCAGTTTGTTCCGTTAAGATTTGAAAATGAAAGAGAGAAGCTGATTGGTTGCTGTGCACAAGATTTTGTCTGCTCCAGTTTTGATAAAGTGCCCTCTCTGTCTCCATAGGCTTGAATGGAGCCTTAGGCCAAGTCTTGATGTATGACCCGTTAAAGCCTATGGGGGGCACAGTGTAGCCATGGCCAACACTGAACAGGTTTTTACCAGACAAGATTGAAGGCCATGATTTTGGAACTAAGGTAAAGAAGCACCTATGGAGGATGGGGGATAGTTTTGGTAGACTTAACGGATGTTGGTCTGTTTAGCAAAAGTTAGTTGAAAGGTATGGCTGTCCTGTAAGACAATTCAGCGGCGTTCATAACACCAAAGCCTGCTTCATATGATTACGTTTACCTGTCATGACGAATATCTCCATTTTCCAACGGAGGGATTATGACATTATATTAATACCAGAGCTGCAGTCTACAGCTTCATTCTCAGTTTCATGTTTCCACTTGTCAGGATTAGACTACTGCCCCCGTTTTATTGTTTCATCTGACAAGTCTGGATTGTTGCACTTCCAGTTTTCATGTAGAAAGGTGGACGTCAGTTTGTATTATGACTTGGGAAATTTTCCTGTGTTCTTTGCATGTTTTATTCTTACTTTGCCCTTATCTGTCAGCGTGTAACAGACAT